AAAATATATATACATGCATGCAGATTCCAAGGTGGTGGATGATGATGCTTCACCACTAGGATTTGGTAATTGGCTCTCTTAATCGCCAGTCGCCTTTTAAAAGGAGGAGTATATAAGGTTAGAAAACCGACCGTGATCTGATGTGCCTGAAACTGACGCTTCCGAAGTATGTAAGGTATTTTTCCCCCTCTCTGCATGCCTTCGTGGTGTAATAGTTAGCACACTCGGCGCGTATTCGAGAGGTCCAGATTCGAGTCCCAGTGAGGACATTGCTCATTTTTCATGTCTCCTGCCTCAAAAATACCTAATGTCTCTACATTACTCGTATTTATGTGTAGCTTCATTAATTTTGGAGAAATATATTTTTACCGAAGGAAATAATCAATCTATGGACAGCCCCATACTCTTCAATTATTGATGCCTCTAAACTTCAAGTAGTGAAAATAGAAGAGAAACAAAGTGAAACATAAAATAAGCAAAGCAACAATCTTGTGTTTGGCGTAGATTAAGTCAATAATTCAATCGGTTTCGAGGACAAACAGGTAAATGTCCGTCTTCGTCAGGAGCAAAGAATTTGGTAATTTAAGTTGTAAATCTGCTTTATTACTGAAGGTTTTGTACGTGGGAGTTGAGAAAGGCAGCCAAAGTGAATCTTGCAAGTAGCTTCGAAGGGAATTTTTTTTTGGGGGGAGGGCAATAAAGTGGAGTCTGATGGAGAAATTTTAACCTTCAGAATTAAATTCAGCATTATAAAGTGCATAACAGTTACTAAAAATTATTCTTATAACAAAACCATCGTTAATCAGCCTATTTTTTTTTTCAAGTGTAAAATCTATGCACTGGTATTAATAACAGTTAAAGGTGGCCTGGCAGTTTGTCTCCTTTTTGTCTGATGGCGCCATTCCTAGTTCTTGGAAAGAATATTTTCTTTGTATTGATCAGATGAGCCAGATTATTTTAAACTGACAAAGCACATGAGGTCTATCTGTTTAAAGGTAGGAATGCCTTCGTGGAGGTTTTTTATGGTAACTGGCTGTTATTCTCTTTACGTTCGGGAAAAACCCCGAAAATCAACCATACAGTTAGGCCGTTTGCCTGGTTTTCAAGTCCTGGTCCAATTAGCAGTCCTCAGCGCTCTTACTTATTCGGCCACTGATGAGGAACTCCTCCTCTATAGTAAAGGCAGTTTTGAATTGTTGCCTGCATAAAAATGGCGCGAAGAAGTATTTGACTTTACTTCCGTTACTTACACGTATAGAATACAGATGCCTACTGTCTTGGGCTGGCACTTTACAAGTCAGGCAAAACTCGCTAATGCGAATAATTTCCTGAAAAAACAAAATGATGATGCCTTGAGTTGAAGATGATATTACTTTCATAACCATTGTGTAAACACTGGTTAAGAAATTACTTTGATGATACGCTGTGTCACCTTTACAGATAATAACTGCTATTCTAAAGCATTACGAGGTGCTCGACAGAAACAGCTAACGACTTTACTATTTACTTAAATATTCATTTTTAGTGAAAATATTCTAAATACTGTCATAATTTAAAATGATAAAACTTTATATTGCCTAAATGAAATAAAAGTCTCATTAATGAAATATTCGTCATGTTTTAATTGAATAAAGCAAACTATTCATCAGCATTTAGTGCAAAATTTGAGGGAAACATTCGAGAATAAATTTCTTGATTTGCATCGTTTTTTCTGTGCTTACGACTAACCAAAATTCAAGATTTCTAAAATACCATCTAAACGGCATAGTAGTTAGTGACTCTGACTACCGTACCGAAGGGCATGTGTTCGAATACAGTGTCTTTGCGGCATGAGGCACTCTAAATATATGGCGAGCAGGAAGTCCTCTCGTGTAGATTGTTGGTAAGGAAAGAGAGTAGGGAGACCTTCGGACCCATTTTCTGGGATGTTTTCTTCAAAACTTGGGTGAAACTAAACAAAATCATGGCGTCACCTATAGGGTGTCCAAGGTTCTGTCCAACTACAAGCGTAATCTTGTACTCCTTGCCACGATGAATTTCATAGGATTGTTTTAATACAAGTGGGATTAGTCACAGCAACAACAGATTTCTAAGAACAAGTTTTAAAAGCAACTGTAATAAAAAGGCTATCCGTATGGGAGATTATCGGTCCGTATTGTATAATTGTGCATTCATTTTTAAATTTCTAGCCGTCCTTTTAATTTTGGTGTAAATATTTACGAAGCTTATCTCTGCGAATCTTGCAAATAAAGGTCTACAACCTTCTGTACTTTGCTAATCGAAGCATAATGACTATTTTACTATTTAAATTTTCACTATCGGTATGTCACATAAAAAACTTGAGTTTCTTTATAGACTCTCTTTTCTAACTGCATTAAGTATGTCTTTGTTAAATATAAATCAATTCGTATCGAAGGGAAGCAAGTGTACACACAACGTGCTAGTAGTATTCTTTCTCAAATACAGGTCGAGTCAACAAGTGCTTATTTAAACGGGTGAAAATCTGAGATTTTCAGAGCGTATTTCGCTAGCCAAGCGCCCGTTTGTTGTTATTTCGCGGTCACGCTAGTAAGCATCTTGGCCTTATCAGATTAGTATCACGCCGGTTAAATTCCTGTGAGTCCACCTCTTAGGCGTATCTTAAGTGCTGTCTTGCACTATTTATTTCAGATTTGACTTACATTATATTCTACATTTTAGTTTCCACCGCAAGTTGACGGTGTCTTTGTAACGCACGAAGTCCGTGCCTTTCTGTTAACTATTTTGAATTAATAAAGAGTTATTTTTACCCTTCGTCTCAGTCAGTAGTTTTATTCACGCCTGTGCGAGAATTTACCAGATCATTATAGCGTCTAATTAAAATTTTCACTGTCGGTATGTCTCATAAATAACTTGTGTTTCTTTATAAAATCTCTTCACTAACAGCATTAAAACTGTCTTTGTTAAATATAAGTCAAATCGTATCGAAAGAAAGCAAGTGTAAACACAACGCGCTAGTAGTATTCTTTCTCAAATGCAGGTCAAGTTATAAGGTATTGCTCTCATCTTCTTGGCTTGTCTTCGTGGTGTAGTGGTCAGCACACTGAGCCGGTATTTCAGAGGTCCGTGGTTCGATTCCCGGCGAAGACGTTGCATATTTTTCCTCTCTCTGGCTTTCAAAAATACCTAATGTCACTACAGCGGCGCCCGAACTAAAAAGGCTGTGGATGATGACTCTCCACGCCCAGGATTTGACGATAGGGTCTCTTAAAACCCCAGTCGCCCTTTAAAAGGGGGAATATATAAGGTATTTCTCCCACCTTCTTGGCTTGCCTTCGTGGTGTAGTGGTTCTGCAAGCTGGGCCGTTTTCCAGAGGTCCGTGGTTCGATTCCCGGCAAAGGCGGTTGTAATTTTTCATCTCGCCTGCTTTTAAAAATACCTAATGTCTCTACAAAGTCATATTGAAAGAAAACAATTATGATGGCAAGGGAATTTTGAAATTATAATTCCTGTTGTCGTTTTAAGCATGACAGCCTATTACGTCTAAACCTGCACGGCATAAGGAGATACGGCTTCTAAACACCTTCTAGCAGCCCTCCAGCGGCCGAGCGGTAAAAGCTGCTGAACACTGGTAGTTTGGTCTGGAGTTCGTGTCTCGGTTAACGGGCTGGCTGCATGAACGTCTTAATGGTTTTCCTCATGTATAACGTGGATACGAGCAAAGGTTTCCTTAAAATGACCTCCACGGGGCATCCCTCCCTTTCCGTGTATAGTGCCTAAAGGCGGAGCACATAATAAGTAAAAACCACCGTCTGGTAAACTCTTCTATAATGACAATCATTACTTTGAAGTTTTTATATCGGAAATCTTAATTTTCTTAAAGTTAAATATTGTTCAATGTACACTGTTTCTATCTGAAATTAGTTAACGATTCATACTCTTTACCAATGAAATCGCAGAAGAATGAAATTAAAATGTTTAAAAACAAAAGAAAATAATATAATTACAAAAGGTTAGCCATTTTTAAAAGCGCTTTTAATGCTTGTAAGAGTGTTTTTAAAGATCATTTTAGATCCTTCAGTTTCAAAACCTTTTGATCGTTACATTTTTAGTAGAGAGGTTTTTAGGCTTTTCTGATACAAGAAACTGAAAAACAAACCTTGCCCCAATTCGCGGAATTTGGATCACAGATCTTCCATTTGCTATTCAATCATATCAAGGATTTTCAATTTCCAGTGAATCACCCATTCCATTGCTCTTACAGACGTGCTAATTACTCGTACTTATAGCCTGACAACAGGCCAGCTGACACTTTTAAAAGAATGTCTCCTCCATCTTTAAACGGGAGCTTGTAATCTTTTACATAAATGATAAAAATGCGAGAAAAGCTATAATAAGAGTTAATAAGTTCCAGAATTTGAATCTTAGATCCTTTTTCTGAGATGATGGTGAGTTACCACTTAGCTACACCATACTTTGGCAATCAGACGAATTTCTACACTATATGAGTTAATTCTTGTTCAAATGTTATCGCTATTTTTGATAGGTGTAAATCTGGCATTCTATCTATTTTTATAAAGCTAAGATTCTATCTATTTTTATAAAATTAATTTTATAAATTTAGCTAAGATTCTATCTATTTTTATAAAATTAATGTCAAATCAAGCCAAGAGTAGGTTAAAGTTTTAACTTTCAATGTGTGCTAATTAGGAGCAGTAGGTCAAGTTATGCTGTTTCATACCATTGTATTTTAATTTAAAGCTTTAAAATCACGTTTTTACTTGCAAGCATGCATTAATTAGCAGAGTTGTAGTTTTATCTTTAAGATCATTACATTTGAGAGCTAAAATTCTTCATTATTTTTTCAATATTATCATTATAAAAGAAACGAATTTCTTACCCGCAGTCATTGTATAAATACAGCTACAGAAAATTTTATCTTCTTTCATGTTTATTAATTATTGTTTTCGTAGATGCAAATAATTTCTAATTTAATTCATCTGCTTTGTTCTTTCAATAGGTCTTTGTTACTCGGAAGTTATTACAAGATTCCCAAAAGGTGGCTCTGCTTATTCTTTCGTATACGCCACGATGGGTGAGTCATTTGCCTTTCTGGTTGGATGGGGAATGATTCTGGAGTATACTGCAGGAACAGCGCTAGCTTCCAAGGCCTGTAGCCAATATTTAGACGCCGTGCTTGGAGGAAGTCTATCCCGTCTACTAGGACAACATTTAGGACATCTGAATGTTACCGGATTGGATAGTCATTTGGACTTCCCATCTGTTGTTGTCATCCTTGTAATATCCCTCTTATTAATCTGGTCCACAAAGGTAAGCTGCCGTTTTGAAACAAATTGCATACGCATTAGAAATGTTTGTGATTTTTTGTTCTTTCGGTAAATTTTTATATCATTATACGAGAGCAGAAAAACCAGAAGCTAAGAAAGAAATATACTAACTTTTCTCCCAAACAAGTTGTAGCACATATTTCTATTAACTTGCATAAATATTTTCTTTTGAGGTATTCTGTGCATATTTTTTTATTTGTTCTACATTTCTAATTATTCATTTGTTATACACTTTTGTTTATTCTTTATTTATATATACTTTATTTGTAATTTGTAGTATTTTAATTTGCAAATAATTACTCGACATTTATGCGTTGAATTTTTACTGCATTTCTGTGTGAGAAATTTCGTTAATCTGTCCTTACATACCAGTACTACCTCTTGAAATCTGTAGGCTTTGACGAAAAAACAGGTTGCCAAATTAGTAAATTTTAGGAATGGTTTAATTAATTTGATTATAGCAAAGCACTCAAGATTATCTGCTTTGGGAAGGGAGACCCTTATGAAAGACTTTCTAAGTAAAACTGTTTTATACCCACATTACAAGTGAGCACGAAACTAAACATGCTCATGCAGATAACTCGTTTGTCTGGAATTTAACCCAGGCAAAATTACCAATGATCAGTGACTTTAGCGCTGGTGGGCTACTTTGGGGAATGTCTCACGAGAGTGAGCATTTCTGAAATATTTCCACTAGGTTACTTCCAGATATTTCTTTCTTATTCACACGTATTCTTATTAGATATATTTATCAGTTTATTTATGTATTGCGTGTATGTGTTTTTATTTCACTATATATTAATTTTTAAAACCAAATCGATCTCTTTTGCCTTAGCTTTGAAATTTAAAATCTTCAAACATAATAATTATATATTTAATGTAAAAGTAAGAACAAACTTACTGTAATTTCCGTGTCACATCTTGAAAAAACAATTGCTTTTCTAGGAAGAGTTTTAACAATAATTCAGATTTTTAACTTTTCCAAAAGATTTCAAGTTGTGCCATTTGATTCTGGACCTTAAGAAAGATATTAGGATTGTTTACGCTAGCAGCACTTTGTACCAAAGAAAAGCGTGCGAACTGAAAGGTTTTGCCTTACTGTTATTTAATGGAAATAGAGTAGAGTGCTGAGAAAATATTTCACAATGGAAATTTTGCATGACAATTATCTTCTAGGCCAGTGGTCTTCAAAGTACGTTCCGTGGAATCCCGGAGTTCTTCGAGTCAAAATAAAAATTCGATATAAAATTATAAAACACTCACACTAATTGACTAGTGTTTATTAACTAAAATTTATAAAGACACGTTTTGTTATCTTTGAAAATAAATTACAAACATCTTATGTGATCTGCAGACATATGCGACATCAGCAGTGACGCACGTGAAAGCGTAGCTCTGGCTTTACGATTGTTCAATTAATGTGTATGCAAAAGTGTTCCTCACACAGCTATAAATCTCACACAGTTCCTCACACAGCTATTCTAACGCCATTCGGAACAACGTATTTAAATGAAGAATCAACAAAAACAAAATATAAAAACAAATTAAATGCAGAATATGAAATGCGATTGCATATAACATGCATAATTTATTTTCTCATTCTTTTCCGCGTGTCTTCGTGGTGTAACAGGAGTACGTCCAATACGTAATCGAGAAATCCGGATTCACCGCCAGGGTTCGGAGGTCGAATCCCGGTGAGGGCACTCCACATTTTTCTCGTCTCCCGCATCGACAAATTCTAAATTCTACACATTAATAAAGCTTTGAAAGTTTATATAAAAAATGCAAGCATAGCATGGTCATTAAACGTAATGCAAAAATATGCGGCACCTGGAGCACAAGTTAAAGCTATTAATGAATAAATTACATTACTTTTTATGTTAACATATTTTAATAAAAATACAATATTTTTCTTTAATTGTCTTTATGGAGAGTACTTATTAACATATTGACCTATTTTAATAGTATTTTAAGATATATTTTTCTAAGGGTAGGATGGAATACCCTGATAAAACCTTATGGTTCTAATAGTTCCGTGAGTCGACAAAGTTTGAAGACCACTGATGTAGATGGTTCATTTGGTTTATGTAAATGCGTAGATAATCATTTTTATCTCAGAAAGAGTAAATGTCCTCTTTTCCTTTTCAGGGAGGCATGAAGTTAACGCGCGTTTCTTGGGGTCAAAATTCCACTTTCTTTTCTTTTCGCCATCGACAGAACAGCTGACCCACTGGGTTAGGTGCTTTTCAGCCTGTTGGATCCCGTCGATGGAATTAAAAATAAATATATGAATAAATATAAATAAGGAGCGTAGTACTGTATCCTCCGGGGAATGGCTACGAAACGAGGAACATTGAAATAAGGACCAGAACATGGAAAGAAGGTGCATGGTGGGGACTTCTGAAACTAAGCGGAAAACTTTTCACTATTATGGTACATGTTAGGCATACAGTTATATTAAGGATGTGCTATAATAATGAGGTACAAATGTAAAGATGATCAAATACATTACAAATTGTGGAATACATTAACTGAGTTCTGGATTAATCATAATATTAAATATAATTAAAAAAACAGTAAAAACAACAAAAAAAGACATTAAGTAAATTAATATATATACGGAGCGGGCTGCTGACGGCACGGTGTCCAAAGAAAGAAGTCAATCCAGGCTGTCAGCAATGCTTTTATCAATGGTAGTGCAGTCTCTAATGCGGCTGAGCATATATTTATTCTTAATTGTGTTGCCACAAATACATTGGTCACTGTCTCTTAGGCGAAATCTGTGAAGATAGGACATATATGGGCCATGCCCTGTCAGATACTGTGTGAGGTGCGAAGAGCTGCTATTTAAATTGTGGTTAACTTTTGGGTTGGAAATCATATAGTCTTCTGCCTGTGGTGCTTTTCTCCCAGTAGTTTTGCCACTGCTTCATTAGTTCACATTTGAGAGTAGTTTTCAGATATGAATGCCGAAGGGGCACATCAATGCTACTCACGTGGGGTTCATTGGCTGCTCCTTTCGCAGTCATATCCACTGCTTCATTTCCTTTAATCCCCGTATGGGCTGGAATTCATTGTAGCTGGGGCCTCAGACTTGCAGGAATCGAAATTAATAGTTTTTGTATATCTCTGACAATGGGATGTCTACTACCTCCGTCCATTGTAGCTTGACTTCGTCTTTCACTCAGGTAGCTGTAGATCAAATCCAATAAAGTTTTGGAACAATTGATATCTTTGAGACACTTCAAAACATCATGCCACCACAACGAATCAAAGACACCTTGAATATCTATGCTGATGACAACAGTATGCAGTTTATTCTGCTTGTTTCTAAGTACCGTGTTCCCTAGGTGATTCAGTGCTTAATTCATTGAATCCACTTTCCTGCTATAAAGCCATATTGCCTAGTATTTATGAGTTTATTAGCATGAATGTAAAAATTCAATCTTTGAAGTACTATTCTTTCGACGATCCCTTCAGGAAGAGGGCAACTTCTGCTATTTTTGTGCCTTCTGGAAAGTGGCGAATTCTCTAGCATGCCTGTAAATAGGAGAAACCTATTGCCGGATGCATGTTATGCATAGTTCTGAAAATGTAGTTATCAAGTCCATCCGGACCTGGAGCTTTAATTGGATTGAACTTCTTGATTACGTCATTCAGTTCCTTACTTGTTGGAATAGGCTCAGAATCAGCAATGGACGAAGTATAAAATATTGATCAATACTAGTTCGTATTTCCTTCTGCGCTGTAGTGTCTTTATGAGGATCATCAAGCTGGAAAATCGTTTCCAGTATATGTGTCACTATCTGAGAACTAGTGTTGGCATTCTGACAGATTGACGTAGTTAGACTGGTAGGTTTGAAGACCTTATCATGAGCAACTTTGAATAGTCTACCAAATTTTTCTGTTGCTTTCGTAATATATTTCTGCCAATATTTCAGTTTAGCCTTTGAAATCTTCCGTTTGTAGACTGCGAGGTTTTTCCTGAATATCATTCCCAATGCCTCTCTTTCAGTTGGATCGCGGTAACCTTGAAAACGGCGCCTAAGGGCCCGAACTCGACTCCGTTCGCCCGCTAACATAGAATTCCACCATGGTGTTTTATTTGGAATAGAGTGACTTCGCCGTTTAAGTACTTTATCACAGACCGTCTGCAATGTGTCTATTATCATATTGCATGCTGTTTCGAGCTCTTCTTTATCACTTGCATTTTCAAAGGCTGCTACTAAATGAGAAACATGGGGTGCTAAAGAGCTGCCAAATTTCTGGAAATTTATATATTTTGTTTTCCATCTGTTTTTAACTGCGTATTGAAGTCAATGTCAAATTTCCACTAGTATAAACGGGCTTTAAGTGGCCTAGCGAAAGAAGGAGGAATAATCTCCAATTAACAAGCACATCTGATCACAAAGCAGACTCCGCTGTTTATTTCACCTTATAAGTGACCCTTATTCCATCCATTAGCCGGACTTTAATCGCTATCCAGCCTGAGAAATCTGGCGCCTTCCTTTCGGTAATTCATATCCTATGTGAAATACCCAATTGCTATCATGTACGATATTCAAATGAAACCTATTAATATGAACAGGGAAGAACTGGGACAGAGGTTAAATATGAACTAGGACATAGATTAAATGGGAACTTTGACAGTGCTTAAATATGTGTAAAGGTGTTTTAAAATTTTATGTATATATATAAACGTGTTTTTAAATAAGAAACATATAAAAAATGCTTTACTGTATCTACAGTATTACAGCAATCATGTCTTTTTTGCTTTTTTAACTATTTTAACTATTATCGTCTACTGTTGAAATAAAATTCAAAAGTTTCGCTTTTTTCCTATATTCTCCCTCAAGAGAACAAATACGAACAGATTGCATTCTACAGGTGCTGTCAAATGTTGGATTTTTAATGCCCATCATGAGAAATACGGAAATTACAGTTAAGATATAATTACAGTTAACTTAGCAGTTGCCGATACGA